GTCACCGCTTCATAAACGCTAGCGCGTATTCTCCTTATCCCTTAGTAGCTCACAGCTAAGGAGATTACCCATCTCGATCCTGACCATGTTTTGTTTCCTTGATAACGCGTCATGAGACGCGAATATCGTAGTGGTTACAGATGTTCTGCAATACACACGAATTCAGTCGCTAGTTTCCAAGCTCACCAAGCCTCTATTTCTCCGTGGTTGGTAAACCGGCACCAGACTTATCTGCGAGAACTACAACGCTAACTTGATACATTGGCAGGCTCATTGTATAAGGCAAATGTGTATGCATTCCATCACTTCTACAATGCTTGATGAAGTCGGATGTATGGTACATCCGTCGGAGACTGATCAATGCCGAACGCTGTATCTTTTTATCCTTTAACAGTCGTTCGAAATGGCAGTAACCATTAAGGGAAATTTAATCGTTGTGACAGCACGAGTTCAGCTGCCAGTTTCATCCAACATTCTCATGGCTCCGCCTATATCAATTCCACACGGATTTCTCCACAGTATAACTTTGTTGCCTTTCGACTGCTATGAAATTCGATGAAATTTCTGTTTCCTGCGGCTACAACTGCAATACAAGTGAAAATATTTCCTAATTCCGCGGATGTTGGCGTCATCGGTCTTCTCTGGCTTGAGAAATATAGAACAGAAAGAAGCTGAGACTCGCTGTGCAGGTAAACACAGGTGCTCTTGTTGTGGTGGACGTTACTTGTATTCGGAATTCGTCACTCCGGCTTACCTCGAGGAAGGTGGGCATGACGGAACTATTTATTGTGCTTTTTTTGATGAGCCATTTCGCCCATTGCTAACGCTACATTTGACACGATTTGTTGTTAAACAGTCCGTGGCTCATATTTCGTTTAAATCGACTCATATTTCTACTTTGTTGCGTTAGACCATTCCATGTGACAATGTGGCTCAAAAAAGAAAGCAATTTTCAAGTGAAATGGTACGCTTTGAGTAAAACGAATTACCCGACACAGGACGCGGGAAACAAATTGAAGCGGCTATTCTAAGAGCAAAGGTGCTGAGGTTATTTCGTGAACTGCTACGAGGGAACTCTGCATAAAAGAGGCTGCTCCTGCAACCATACCATCGCGGAACAAATCAGTCACTGTCTAATTTTATCTAATTTTATTTTATTTAACTTGTCTTCACGTCTAGTGTGCGGATCCCAGCACTTCTCACATTCGATTCGTTTCCTCGCGTCCATTATCCACGAAGATCTTCCAACTTTTACGTGCGGCTTCGGTTGCTGGTTGAAGATTTCCATTTCATATTGAATGCGCTCCCTGGAGTCCTGAGATAGCCGGGCTAGAGCGTTCCCAATTGGATTGCAAACAATGATTTTTTCCCAGACAAGTCCGGTACCAATTTCCCGACCCCGGAGGGAAGAGAGGCTTGGTTAGACTAGAGCGAAATCGGACTAGCATCATGCTTGTGATGACAGGCATCAATACCACTGTACTATCGGCCCTCTGTCCACTGTCTAATTTATAACAACGAATAATTTCTTGGTCCTAACACTGAGCTGTGCCTCAGCTTTGACAATTTATTGGGCTCCTTGGTCCTGCAGTGTTTCCGTAATGGGGAGTTGTGTCAGTATCACTAACATGCAAAACTTCTTCTACAAGTGCCGATAGGAGCAGTGGTTGCTAGCACTTGTGTAGTTATCTCTAAGGTAATCTTCTCAGCGTTGTGTTCTGTAGCCGTTTTTCGTCTTTCGAAATTTTCCCCATGCTTTTGTATTCCTCTTTTATATCTAGACAAAAATTCCATTTCTAGTGCATTTTTGTTGTTTTTCTTTGCTGCGATCTCCAGTGAGAACCAATTCTGAGATATTTTTGTCGATCACGTGCACTGTAAATGGTCGGCACGATGAAGGAAGGGTCGAAGCACTTTCGTGTGTGTGTGTGTGGGGAGTCTGCTCCGAAGCATCCACACTCTATCGAAATGTGATTCGTATAAGCGCGTAAATTGAACACCGTCTAAATTGGCTCGAAGTTCATGAACAACGGCGCTCATTCGATTTTCTTTAAATGCATTTTGTTATAAAAAGAGAAATGGACATCTTTCTTTTAAATGTACGACGTTACGACCGGTTTTTACGTCATGAACACAGGCGAGACCGCACCGTTTTCTCCCCTTTTATCAAAGAATTCCCTTCCCAAACAGAAACATAGGCTTTTCCTTGAACCAATTAGTCGTCTGTAGCTGGGAACACACGTACCTGAGGAGATGCGTAAGGGAATTCGTCTATTACTTATAGAGAAAACTGTAGTTATTTACGGGTTAACCGTAACGTTCTGGGCGTTTCCACGCATGGCTTGTTGTTTTCATCTATCGGTAGCACGTGGTGGTTGGTCGATCGTCAATATAAGGTTTAGTCGACCTCCGCCCTGTCTTCGATTGCTTGCTTCGTAGCAGTATTTTTCTAAAGCCAGCTATTTTTAGATCACTAAATTGGTGTTTGCTAAACGCTGTTTCATGCAAGTATCTGCAATGAACAACAAAAGCGAATGTGAATACCTTGCGGATACATGATATCTAGCCGCAGCAATGCTTCCTCATTTTACACATTTTTTCTGATTTGTTCTCATCTGTTCTGAAAGAAGTGTCAAGGAAATGCTTGTCAGTGGGGATATACCCGACATGATCTTTACATCCATGGCATTGATGTGTCACTTTGTTGGTTGGTGGTCGGTGGAGGTTATCGACACTGGAAACAGTTGTAGCTGGTGATGGGGACTACCTGCGACGTGGCGGAGCCCGGCCGACGAACATCAGGTGGTGTCGTGCACTCCTCCTGCCGACGGCTCGAGTGCTGGCGTCGAGTCGTCCTCTGACAGCTGTGCCCGTCATCCTTGGTTATCCACAGCACTCGTTCACTCGGATGCAAGCACTGAGGTTAGAAGGCAGCTCGGACGCCGACGAACCAGAAGTCGACGATGCTGACGACTGCGACGTATCCGCCTCGTTCACGCTGCCACCGATAGTGTTGGCCAACCACTTACAGTTGACCATCGTCACACCGTTTGAGAATGATGATGAAGACGTGATCTGCTGTGAGTGCAAATTATCGTCGGTAGCATCTGTGAATTTTGCGACAACTCAGTGAAGCTGTTGTTAAACGTCCTCAAACCTTCCACTTCTCCATTCAACTTTCCCTGGTGTTATAAGCTCGCGTTTTGTCGACATTTCGCACAGTTATTAATTTTCTCTTGCTTCGCTTTCTTATTTCTTCATCCACTTTCAATCCGCTAATTGTTTTTGTCAAACCCATATATTCGACGTCAACATCCCTTTTTTTGCCCCGTAGTTTCCATTCACAGGAAGATGGAATGACCACTTTGTCCATCGCGACAAATTTGCCCAATTTTCTACGCTGCAAAACCAGGTCGTAGATGGGAGCAGTAGAGCGATGAGCAAGCTAGCGAAGTAGAATTAGGCCTTCAACCGAATCAGCTTTCACTGCAATGAGCCAATTTTTGGAAAGCAATGTTGAGAGTGTTTGTGAGGAACGTGAAATTGTGGAAATGAGACAACAAAATATATTGTGTGCAATTTGTATGCCTCAGTCATCCCAGCGAAATTGAGGCCGTCGTTGCAATTCCGGAGCAGTTGTTAAGATCGATCGAAGCATCGCAACTTAGTTGACATTCGTCAGGTTCAGATCTGCATCGATTCGAGTTTACGTTTGTAGTTTGACCAAGAGGAAGACTACTGCTCCTATCTGGCCGCGTAACATCCAGCATCTCTAAAAATTGTCTTAGTCGATACAAACAAAAGCTCTTTCCCATGTGTTGAGGTGTATTTCTTATCACAGTGGCTTCACACCCTCTCAGTTTCTTGTCGACCAGAGCTCACACCGCTCACAAACCGAAGCATAAGTAGGGTGCCGAGCTCTCTGCTATGCAGAAAAGATCCTTTGTGTTTCTAAGTTTCTGGAAGTCGTAAAGGGAAGAGTGATTAGAATTCCGTCGATGATTGGAGAGTTTTGTTAATGTTCTTAGCAGTGTGTGTCGTTACAGTTGGTTATATGAAGGAAACTTGTTTAATGGCTGTCAAGACCTCACCAATAGACTCTCAGGTTTTTTCTTTTCATAAGCGAAAGGCGCTTCATCATGCGAGGTGGCTACATCCTTAGACGGCTTGCAACCTACACACCCTTTCATAAGATCGTTGGTGTAGAAAGTTGCCGTACTTCTAAATCTGATGACGTCATTATTTAGAAGATTTTGATTTAACTACTAAAATTTTAGCAACAGTTTTTGTTTGCACTAACTTCCGATTGTTGCTGTCTTCATTTAAAATTTTTATACATCCGAGAGACCCTTTCGACTTTTAGTGTCCTTTCACTTAACCCCTTACCTTTACCTGATATAATTTGCTGCTCTGAAGCAAAAAATGGTAACCTCCTAGTTGAGTATTCGCTGAAAGAGTCAGCAAAATTTCTTCGGAGATGATATTGCCTTTATTCATGGTGTGCCAAGTACGCTACCGTTCCGCCACAGAGATTACAGTACCATGCAGAGCTTGCCATCGACCAATCGTCGCATGTGCGTTCACGAACGATGTTCCGGGTGACCCCGAGCGCTCACCAGGTCGCCATCCAAGCCGGCCATCCGGTCGGCTGGTGCTCGCCACGACGACCCACCGCGTCGGGATTTGCCGGTGACGTCTGCGGACTGAGGGGGAGCGAATGAGGAGCAGGAGGGTTGGAGCGCACGCGAGGCGGCTGCGTCGCGGTCGCCAGGCCAATACGGGTGCTCCGGTCCATACCAGCCTGAGGCCAAGTATGTCCTCCAGCAACAAGAAACTTCAGATCAAATTCTGTGAGTTTAGCAAGGTGTTCTTCTGTTTACATATCCCAGGCGCTCACCTCAGGCCTGCGCTGATGGCGCGGAATACTGTGGTAAACTTGTGGAGACGCAAATGCAATAACCCGATCAGATTTCCGTTAACCTAGCAAATACGCTGTATAAATGTGTGTTGAGAGCGAATTAAGTATTACGAATTCAACTGAAGTGTTCTTTCTTTCAGTCAAGGAATTTCTGGACAAAGCTCGAGAGGACTTCAAGCAGCGATGGGACAACCCAGCTCAAGTGAGTCAGTTCAGTCTGCACTGCTTGTGACGCTGTTATACATGTTTTGTCCGGAATTTTTTCCATATTGTGTAGCCATTCTGTCATGTCATTGCCATGCCAGTTGATATTCTCCTTCAATATTCGGACTCGTTTTCCAACAGCAGGCTTCCTAATTTAATTCTAATCTTACCGAGGCAATCCTTTTGGTGAGGAGTCGGAGAAGTCGTTGTGTCGTATACTGTTGTTGCGTGCGTACTGGACAAAGTCGTGCCAGATCAACTTCCTACCTACCGTGGTGACTTCGCACCAGCCGCTTCTTGCGTAGCACCCTCCAAACCGGACGTTGTCCTCCACCGCACATTCCAGCTCATAACCCGTTCCTCGTCGCCACCCATTCTCCAGTCGGGAAGAGTTTGAGGCAGATATTGATCTGTGCATGGATGCTATTTTTATACTCGCAGTCGTCGGCCGTGCTGCTAGCATTGCGCTTGTTAGCAATCTTGTCGGCCAGCCACTCTGCTGCGAGCGTAATTTCATACGTGGGTGCTTGCCTCATCCTAACTCCCTTGCCTTGCCTTGACTCTTAATTGGAAAAGTCGGCGAGAGTCCTTCTGCTACACCTAGAGGGCAATCGATTAGGACAACGTACTGTCAAGGCTACTTTTCCGATTGCTGGAAATAGTTCTCCAGAGGCTCCTTCGGATACTTCGGAAGAGAAATCGCTTGACATTATGCTAGACAAGTTTGCCGGGAGCTGTTAGTTTGGCATCAGTTTTCTTTTCGAGGTCCTATCAAAGACAAGGTTATCAGGAAGAAGATAAATAAATTGGAAAAAGCTCATATGATCATTCTCTCCGCTGTGAAGACACGAAAAACGAGGAACTAAAAAGAAGCGCTATAGAAACTGAGAAAATTTTTTCTCTTAAAAGTAGGAAGAACTAAATTCTTGATTTTAGCTGTGGAGTAAAACCCTCTTTACGTCTTCATATGTTTTGTATTTGTTTTTTATTTTATGGTTTTATTACTCTTTATAGTTTCATATTTCTACTATATTTTCTTGTATCTTTAGGTTTTTACATCATGTTTAACATCCTTACTTTTATTAAATTTCATATTTTTGTTATATTGTCTTATATTTACCCTTTCTCAGTTTTCCGTTGCTACTTTATACGAGAACACGTATGGCGCAGTGGTTGGAGGCGCCCTGCAATAAACATGAGGTCGACTCCCGTGCAAACGGCTCACCAAGCCTTCCATCCCGCCGGGGTAGGCAAATTGGTACCAGACTTGTCTGAGAGGATAGCAGCATTATTTCGATAAATTGGTAGGATACCGTGAGTAACTGTAAAGGTTTCAGTCATCTCCTACGATGCTTAATGAAGTTGAATGCTTGACTCATACCACAGGGATTGATCAACGCCGAGAGCTTTGTACTTTTTTATTTTATACGAATTTTTCCGCTGCAACATTCCTGCCCTCATCATCCACTCTTCATTTTATCACTATAACAGCATGCTCACATGAAACAACCAAAATGCTGTACCGTTCTGCGAGTTACGGCGAGAATTGCTGAAGTGCATCGGTTCCCAGATGTTTTTCGAGGTGGCGAAGTCTGTAATGGTCGTCTTTTCCATCAGTTTCAGTGTAGTTCAGGCATGGAAACAACCTTCATGTCGTCTTACCCACTTCCCGTTTATTTCTCTATTAGTAAATTGGACGACACGGTGAAAACAGAAACTCCGTACACACGTTGCATTCGCTGCTTTCGGCTAACAGACGTTCATCGCTAAATATTCAACTGGTAACACGAAAGCATAGTGGGACACCATACTGGCTCACCAGCTTTGCGATGTGAGCAAATCTCTCTGTACCGTCTTATAGATCTACTTCTGGCTCCTTTGCTTATCTGATGAAAATTAGACAAAAGAGGAATTCGTAGTTCACCAAAGATGGCAAGGAATTCCCATCGTTACAGTGGGTGCCTTTGGGTGGCAGGATTCCGCCTGTTCGTACTTAAGTGATGGAAAGAAACAAATCCCTGGATATAATCTAGTTTGAACGCAGTCATAATGTGCGCTACAAACAGTCCGAAATTCCCACTCAAATCTTAGCATTCCATAGCATATAACTGAGCGTCTAGAGAACAAACAGTAAATCCGATGGTTTATTGGATATGGTATTTGTGTCACAAAGAAAATTATACTAGAAACCTGACAAGCCCGAGGTATGTTAGCAAAGTTTAGTTTACCGAATTGATTCATGTCTTCACTAAACACATGACGGTCTTATGGCTATAGTTTGCCTTGCAATCCAACAAAAGTTTCTGATTTCCTACCTTTTCCCCTGCATTACAATGCTTCTTTTTCTGTTGGAAAGGAGTCGGACAAGTAACGTCGCTTTTATCTTTACGCTTCCTGTTTTCGGCGAGTGGTCTGTGCGGTGACAGAGGATTGCTGGATTCGGGGCTAAAAATAGAAGTTATCGGCACTTCACTCTCACACATGTATGGTTGTCTCCTCCAATGAGCCAGTTTCCTGCGTTCTCTCCCTTTTCGGTGCCTCCATCGGGATCCTGTTCATCTGTGGCTGTCCATACCTCGCTCGCCTCAAAACACTCTGTCGGCCGTGTGCGGTGTGTGCGTCTCCCACCACCACTTGTTCTCCTTTGCTCCCACTTCGTCGCATCCCGTCGCTTTCTCTCTTCGTTGACTGGTCTTTCCCGATCTGCGTTCCCACACTCCGCAAATCGCGGGTCCCACCCCTCGTCCTCCCATTCTGAAAACTCCTTTGTTCCCTGTTCCCTGTAGTTACCGGTCGTCATCATATCCACAAACGAGCTGTTGTCCCTGTATCCCGAAACGTCTGATCAAACCGTTCCGTGCCTCGGATATTGGACATCTCGGCGAAATATCTCTGCCTCAACCAGCAACGATGACGCTTCTCCTCAACAGGAACTCTATCCTCTTAACAGATGTAGTCCGCTGAATGCGAACGATGTTTCCTATGTACCGTTCCCGCTAATTCGTGGCGTTCACGTTCAAGGTGGACTCATCTCAGGAGTGACTGTCAAAAAACGTCGCTCGTCCAGTTCACCTCGGAATCCTCGACATCGTGAAAAAGTTCCTCATCTTGAGACCTCCATCCCTTGTGGTTTAATTGACCCATTTAGTGAACCATCTACTTCGGCAGGACCACTTAAGGAAAATGTTTTGTCAACTTTTGCCGTAGACGGAAAGGATGTGAATTTGACTGCTGAACTGTTTTGGCTCAAAACGCATCTTTCGGATCACTGGTCAATGAAATGGCTGTGGCAGGTAACGCGCGATTCTGTTCTCTACTGATCTCTCCATTTCAAAAATCTATCACGTCGGCTGGTTTTGTGTAGAGGTGGAGCATTCCCTTTCGAGAACAGCAATTAAATGTAGTTTTTTTTAATTAGTTCGAACTTCGACAAGATCTGTTATTTTGAATTGCGTGTGGTTAGCACGTCCATTGGAACAGTGTTATACCTGAGCCTCAGAGCCGAGTGTAGCTGTGAATTTTCTGGCATTTTCTATCTCATAAATACTTCGAGTGTTGTCTATAGAACTGATGTCCAGATGAAGTCATCACATTTCGCTTGTAGGTAGGCGTTATATTCGAAACCAAATTACATTGAATGAATTTGTCATTGTTTTGGTGTTCGTACCACTGTGATAAGCACTAAAAATTCATCAATTACTAGCATCACATGGTTGTTTGGACTAGACTGTATCGTTATTTCCAGAGCTTCTAGCTGAGAACATGGTCGTCTTAGGTTATCTGTCATACTTACACTTTCTGGGTAACGATTCTTTCCGAGTTCAACCTACCATGATATCTGAGAAGAGTTTTTAGACGTGAATTCTCACAAAACTTTCCGTGTATGTTCAGAATACGGCCGTTCTTGATGACTTCGACCGTATCAAAACCCTTGGAACGGGCTCGTTCGGGCGTGTAATGCTTGTGAAGCATAAACAGAGCAGCAGCTACTACGCCATGAAAATCTTAGATAAGCAAAAGGTATTCAGTGATTGTTTACTGTTTCAGTTCAGCATTATATCGCATCTAATGAAGTAGACATCACGATGTGTGCTTTTTGAATCCGGTACGAAGCAAATTCATGTTGTTGGCTTCCAGTCTGGATTCTTGCTATGAGCAGTACCCTTCAACATTCAGGTTGTGAAACTGAAACAAGTGGAGCACACACTGAACGAAAAGCGAATTCTACAGGCGATCGATTTTCCGTTTCTTGTCAACATGCAGTACTCCTTTAAAGTAAGTATTTATGTTATATTTTTTTAATCTGATTACACCAGATCCATTGCACTACTACTTTTCATCATATGAGGTGGTGAAGACCTCTATCACCTCGTTCAAATTTGCCTTGCTGCTATCATTTGTGGGCTTATCCTGTTTGATTTTCGCTGTCTCATACTGGGCACTGCTTCATTCTCTACAAAAATCCAGCAATGCTTTTGGTAAAAATTGACTCTTCCGCGCTCTTATCTAGCGAAAAGAAGTAGCTTACTCATGTGAGAATGACTCTTTAAATTTTTTGCTTTGCATTGTATTGCCTTGAATTTAATGCATTCGTCTTCCTAAGTGCATGCATGGAGTCTTTAGATGGAATCAGCACGACTAGACCTTGGGATATGTATCCACTGGCATTTGACATGACTGAACTTCACATGCGACGTTCTCATTGCATAGAGAAGAAAAAAGAAGGCGACAGAGAGAAAGAGGGAAGGAACTAAAAAGCGGCTTGCTTACCGACCTGGCGTCCTCGCCGAACCGCGCAATTTCTGTTGATGTTTGTTCAGTGCGGGTGTTGACAATCTGAACAGAAGTAGATCATCCCGGCTATACAGCTTCTGTTCGCTTTAGTCGATAGGGCGTCGTGGTTAGTATCGGAATTGCCTAAGTAACTTCGTTTGTGTGAGAAAGGCGTTTAGCATCTATTTTCTTGACTCAAAATCGAGCTCTTATACAGATGCTTTATTGAGCGTTAAGCTGGTAATGTTGGTGGTGGGGTCAATGGGATGCGCGAGAGCAAGAAATTGTACGTTATATTAAATGGAAATATCCCATTAAAAAAAATCGGACTTTTAATGCGTCTCGTGGTTGCTTGCCAGGTGGTTGCATCTATCAAACAAAGGTCTGTTTGCTGGTTGGATTTATTCCGACTTATGCCGCTATGTCAGGTTTGTGTAGTGCAGTACTTAGAGGTGCCCTGCAATACACATGTATTCGTTCGTTCAATCTCGCGTGCCAGTTCTAGCAAGCCTTCCATTCTTTAGCTTCGGCAAATTGGCATAAGACTTGTCTGGGAGAATAACAGTAGTGACTTGATTCATCAGCGGGCCACTGTTGGTCACTGTATAGGTCAGATAAGTATTTATTCATTCTCACGATGCTTGGCAAAGTCGAATACATGACGCATTCCTCATGGATTGAGGACCGCCGAGAACTCCATCCTTTTTATTGATAATCCGTCTCTTATTTTATCGCTTCAGACACGTTTGGCCAAAGTGAATTTCTGCCCCAAAGACTCATTATTTCCAATTTACCTTGTATTTCGAAATTCGTAGGGTTGTAACACATAACGCCGGAAGCTGGTTTTCCGATAACCCCGATAATTTTTCCATAACTAGGATATTTGAAGAGTTTAGAGCTTGACAAGGTTCTAGAAGTTTTGCTATACCTTCATAAAGGTCCATTTGGTTTTTATAGGTTATTACACCATTTTAAAAAAATCAAAAGAAACTAAAGAGAATTGACAACGAGTTAATATTTTCAAAATTCGAACTGAAAACGGGGCACCATTAAACAACATTTATGCATTTGCTAACACCATCGTGTCGTGCTGGACAAATTCGTGCCTGTCCGGGCACTTAGATGTTCGACGCGCGAGCATTAAAAAAGGAAAGCGAGGAGAACATACTTCATGGGCTCAGGGAAATCATAGTAAAATCTTAGTAGAAGAGAAGAGTTGCATTTTGTAGGTGAAGTTTTGATTCTAGTCGTTCTTATCACAACTAACAACCTTGAACAGGAACTGAGATATGTCGCTTTAAAATTGAAAGCGCTTGTTATTTTCATATCAAATGCATTGTAGTCAATACATGTGGGCAGTATGTGTTAAAACGTCTATCGTTGATCATCTCTACTATCCGCTTTTTTCGGAATTCCATCCACATGATTTTTGTTGCATTTAGTTGTGTTATTGTTTTGCTCCTCTTCAGAAGGCATCAAACACATTTGCGATGTTTGTGATGGATTTTTCAAAGAAAAAAGCATTTGAAAACAATGGCAGTTTGCGCTGTCAGCAAACCGTCTCGAACTGATTTGAAAGGACGTGGACGTGAAGATTGCCTTATCCTCATCTTCCGTTTGGTGACGAAGCGCTGGATCATTTCCAAGTCGAAGAATCCAAATCTGTTCAGAAAAGCGAAGCGCGCTTCACTTTCGAATAACGGTGCTTTCCTTTTATCGAATTGTGGAACATAACTCTGTCAAAAGGCAATGCGCGCTAATTTTAAAATCACTCTGTTGGGAGAATGCAACTCAAACTTTACAATTGTTACAAAAGTCATAGCTGTATACGAAAGCATTTTAACTCTTCCATTTTGTAAAGATCCACTACTTTCAGGACAACTCAAACCTTTACATGGTACTCGAATTCATTTCCGGTGGCGAAATGTTCTCTCACTTGCGTAGGATCGGACGGTAGGTTGCTCAACATGAAGAACATTACAGTAGGGCATTCGATTTATGAAGACCTTACCTTCTGTCCATACCCCGGGAAGTTGCGGTAATACCAATAGTCATTTCGAAAACCAAGTTTTTCCTTTTTTAAAAACCCTGTTAAAGATGAATTTCCAGGAACATTTTCTCATTTCCCTAGAAAGTAAGATGCGTCTAAGATTCTTAGTTCCCTCATAGGCGATTACTGCCGCGAAAAGAGAAATCAGGCGTACCAGAATTTGTACTGTAGACATTCAGGCACGGGGTTTTATCGAAACTTTCCTTCTAGTGAGCGGTAGGCGGATAAATGGGACGCACTGTTTCAGTTTCTCTGAACCGCACTCTCGCTTCTATGCGGCTCAGATCGTGTTGGCTTTCGAGTATCTGCACTCGCTTGATTTGATCTATCGAGATTTGAAACCGGAAAATTTATTGATTGACAGTACGGGATACCTCAAGGTGAGTCCAGAAATCGAGCTGCGGCCACTTTCCTAAAGAAACACTTTGTTTGTCAGGAAAGAACGACCGTACAATAGATGCGTATTCTACTTCTGCAGAGTTTGCATTGTTCCAGAGCAGTCTCATCAAACAACCAGCATGCATTTCAAATGTCTAACATGGGGTGATGTAAACATGACACCATTCTGGGGTGAAGTAAACAAAAATAGCTGCTGGTAAATCTGCCTTCATTCATTCACCTATTACGGCGGATTAACTGGGCTTTTCTGTGAAGCGTAATCCCTGATTAGGTGAATACTGCTGTAGCTTTTCATTTCTCGCTTGGCGATGATTCACTTTCCCTCGAGTTCAAAAGTGGTAAATTTAAAAAACAAATAGGAAGTTATGTGGGAATTCTAAATAAAGACAAACTTTAGTAGCGTATAGATACGGCAAACGCTTCAGATCACTGACTTCGGATTCGCGAAACGGGTGAAGGGTCGCACCTGGACGCTGTGTGGTACACCGGAGTACCTGGCTCCAGAAATTATTCTTTCTAAGGTAAGTTTACGTTCATTTTTAGAGCTGGGTATTGGAGTGAACATATTCAAGTCATTTATCTAAAAGTCGATTGATAGAGCTCATGTTATCTACTTTCTTGGTATCACAAACAAATAGGTGTCTGGAGAATTATTCCCGTTATGAGCTTAGAACTTCCAGTGCACAAATCAAACTTTTAGCAAAATTCATCAGTCTTTGTAAAAATCATCTGAGCATTTTTGTCAAAGCCAACGGTTTGTTTTACATCGCAACAGAGTTCCAAGCTGTGTTGGCTCCGAATTTTCTGGTAAAATCAACAGCTTAGTTGTTGAATGCTTTCTCAGCGGATAGTTGTCAAAGTGAAACACAACCGCAATGATATTGAGATATGAGCAAAACTCAGGACCTCAGGTGCGCTTCGAAACCTGCGGTTACCTTTTTGCGGGGCTCACCTGCTGTTCACTGCACCAATAGAGGCACTTGTCTGAGCCACTTTTTTACTTTGGCGGTGTTATCAGCAGCCACCTGTCAACGTGAAGGATCTGGGGAACACAAAGCGGCATTGAAGCCAGTTAAACTGAAGCTGCAGTCGAAATCACAATTGTTTGATTTTAATCTGTATTTCACATAATATCTTACCATGAAGAAAAGAATAGGCAGTAAGTATAAGTTTGAACGGTTGTCAAAAGTTTGCAAAAGTGGTAGCCAATCGACAAATGGTCCAATGAGAGTACTGCGCAAGGAGGGGTTTCATATGCCTTTTTTTCAGATTTGGCAGTGGTAATTCTACGCTGTAGTCGTGAAAGAGAACCACCCCTTTCTGCTCATCAGCTTTCTATAGTTCTTTCATGAGTTTTATCGGTCTCACAACAAGACTATATTGAAGAAGTTATAAAGGACTGTTCCACCTGCGGAACGTGAAAGATAGTGTCATCGTAATCTCAACGTTTCAGTGCAAGTTTTCCATTGAGAAGTATTTCTCTTTTGATTCATCGTTCTCCGAGCGCTGTGCATAACGTCGTCAGTTGTATGAAGTCCAGTTTTATTCATACATTTTATTGCGACTAAGAAATTTCTGTAGCACAGAAAATGCGGTGGACAGATTTTATAACGGTAATCTCTTTGATATTCGATGAATTTATGCGGTATCCACACTTTACCTTCAACTTCCCGTCTTGTTTGGGATGGTTCGAAACTGTTCCAGTCTCCTGCAAGCACTCAAACCGTTGAGTATCAGTTCAGGTCGGGTCGTCGTCGATGGCGGTAGGTCCTTTCCGACCTTCATCGTGAAAGCTCTCATATCCATAACGGAATTTCTCTAACCAAAAGCCCTGTATCGTACGGTCTTTAGGCGTTTTTTGGTCAAATGCAGCAGTAATGTTGTGGCATGTTTCTTTGTCTTTGCATCCATGTTTGAATTCACAGGAAAAATTACTTGATTTTGGCTTTTTTCCGGTTTATATCACAATGAACTAGTTTGAACAACAGTTCCAAAGCGAAGTTTTTGTTTTTAAACTGTGTATAAAATGAACATGAAGGCATAAAATTTATGTTAAGGATGAGCTTCTGGGCACCTTGAATCAGGAGTTGCTTTACTTGATGTTCATCAGATACCTCATTAAAGCTGCATTTACTCCAGCCAATGTGAAAATGCATTGTTTTCCATGCAGCACAATAAAATTTCGAATATTGAAACATCGTAATGCAATACGTGATTGCATCACGTGCCGATGGATACTATGTCGTCCCAGCCCTCAAGCTCGCTGCACTCCCATTTTCGCCGTGTTTGGCTCATTGATAACAAGCTTGCAAAAGTTACACTTTCTTCGCAACAAAACCTCTCTTTCACTAATTTTCTTTTCGTCTTTTTCTTTTACATGACCACTCTTTCATATCTACTATGCGGGTTCTAACACTTCCTTGAATTCAGTTCTTTTCCTTGCGTCTATCAGCTAAGAAAATCGCCGGATGTTTTGCTTATGGATTGGGTTGCTTCTTAAGAATCTTCCTTTCGTTGTGAATGTTGTTGAATGCTCGTCGAGATGATTCACCGTGGAGTTTTGAAAAACCCGTGCTATAGCTTCTCACGTGGATTGCAGGGAGTGAGCAAATCCCAGATACTTCTGATACCAATTTCCCGGAGACATGGAGGGCTTGATGGACCCGAGGCAGGTCGGACCTTTACCGTGCTCGTGGTGAACGAACGTTAATATCACAGGGCTACTTCCACCTTTTCAGCAAATTCACAGATATGAACTACTACTCTGGTGCCACATTTATTGAAAGGCGGCGTAACTTCGTGGCCCATTACTATATCAAATCTCCGTAGTGCATGAACTCTGGAATGTTTTTTTCTCAATACTTCTCTTTTTAGGGTTATAACAAGGCCGTGGATTGGTGGGCACTCGGCGTGCTGATATATGAAATGGCAGCCGGCTATCCACCGTTTTTTGCCGACCAGCCCATTCAAATCTATGAAAAGATCGTCAGCGGAAAGGTGACGAATTGTGCTTCCTTATTTTTCTCTGGTGAATGATGATTTTGTGTTTACTTTACAAAAAGAATCACATAAGCTATCGCTTGTTCTTATCACGGTATTTATTGCACATTTCGTAAGAAAAGCAAGGGCCGTTTCTGTTTTACTAAACGTAAAAGAGATGTGGTGGTATTGTTGATTTAGTGACGACTTGCTGCATACCTTCTTTTCAATAGGACTTTATTCTTTGCAGTTTATATTCACACCTAGTAGAACTGACCATGTCAATTGGTTATGAAATGATAGAACGATCTTGAAAGGTCAATAACTATGGATAGTTAACCACATTGATGCTGAGATATTTGCAAAACTTGGGATCGCAGGTATCTGCGGTGGGGATCGAACACGCTGTTACCCTTTCCGGCGCCTACCGCGTCTACAACCGCACCATGCAGGTCCTTCGTTCCGCCTTTCTCCAAGTTTTGTTTTGTAGCTGCTGTCAGCAATCACCCGTTATACTGCAACTTCAGCTTAACTTGGTTTAGTGCCGATTTGTGCTCCGCAAATCAGTACCGCTGGCGAGTGATTGCTGGTAGCACCTTATAAAACACGACTGAGAGAAGGGCTAAACGAAAGGTGTGCACGATGTGGTGTGAAATTTGTTAGCCCCGGAAAGGGTAATAACGTGTTTGATCCCCACCGCAGACACCTGCGCTCCGGAATATCCCGAATGCCTCAGCTTCGTTGTGGTTATATTTCACATCATACCCTGCTATGAAAAAACAATAGGCAGTAAATAAATAGTGATTCTGTTATGCCTAGTTATTTACTTCAGTTATGTTTAAGGAATCGAGATTGTTACTACTTACATAAGTTTTCTTTGTGAGAGTAAATCTTGATTGAAGTCTATTTTAGGTCAAATTTCCATCACATTTTTCAAACGAGTTAAAGGATCTACTAAAGAACCTGCTTCAAGTCGATCTCACGAAGCGCTTCGGAAATCTGAAGAATGGCGTTGCTGATATCAAGAACCACAAATGGTTCGGCAGCACTGACTGGATAGCAATTTACCAACGAAAGGTAGCAAAATCCGATGTGGTTGTCGGCCTCTACTAACTGCACCCAACGCCTTTTCTGCTTCAGTTCTAAACGAAACAACGTTGCAGTTCTAGAAATCGACTCTACGGACTTGCCATTCCGGTATATTCACTTACTGCAAACAACTAACACTCACATCTAGTCATTTTGAATTGGAATCGTAATTTCAGTACAAGATACAGCACGTTTCTTTCGACTTTAAGCATAGCGTGAATAGTTAAAGACCTTTTGGTTTAACAATCCAGACAGACTTTTCGTAGCGAGCATGCTTTCATCAAAAAGTATGAGACGAAGTTTATTCTGTCGCAGTCAATGCAGAGTGTAAAAGCGACAGTAGATAAGTGAAAATGTCTGCATCTTTTCATACGGTTCAGGTCAACTTTGTGTGTCATTAGCCATGAACACCGTTTCATCTAGGTGTTTTCAAGCACCACAGTTCAGAATGACGCGACCAGTTGTTTTGCGATGGTAGTTCGGAATAGCAAGTCTCTTTCGTAGCGAACGCCATATTTCTTCTAAAAGGCCTGTAGCGTAACTGAGTTATAAAATAACTCCACGATTTTCGTGCTGTCCATGCATGATGGCGCTGTTCTTTGAGTGTTTCTTGCATGGATTTTGTTTTGCTTATGTAGTTTGTTCGTATGTGCTGTACTACTGCATTCGTGTGTAGATCGCTCCAGCGTCATTCTCGAAATGTGAGCCGGGTCGACTGCTCGAGGCGCTCTATCCCCGCGTCGAGGGACCAGCCGACACACGGCATTTTGTGGAGGAGGTGAAGGAAGACGAGCACTGGGCCATCGCCGCCGAAAACCAGCATGCTGACACGTTCGCCGATTTCTAAGGTTGCTCTCCACTCCCAAATTCGAATCAGTTTTTAAAATCGTCGACGCCAGCCGCTGCATGCTGCTGAGTGCTGTCGCCTTTTTTTTTCTAGAAACGTGTGTTGTTTACTCAATCTGCATGATTTTAAGTTCAATTTCTGTTCGCATTAGGCTCAGATTCGCAGATTTGCTTTCATGAACCGACTCAGCTACTACTCATCTCACATTACTCACAAGTCATGACAACACAGCGATAAATCACAACCCATCGTAACTCGTTTCTTATCGGAACTATTTCTGCTTTAAAAGACCCAAAGGGTCTGTAAAATTTCGAAAGATAGTTGTTAAATCTTTGTAAGAAAGTTGGGAACGTAGATACTTCATTATCAAATTTTTGCCTTTGATCTAAAATCCTTATTCCAAAACGACTACTATTCTTTTAATTTTGCTCGGAGACTGACACATCCGCATCGGAATTACCACTCTTTGGGCAAGCGTGAGTCTACTGGTTTTATGACAGAAAGCAAAAATACTTGTTCTAAATCGAAGTGTGAACTGGCTTTTAATAGCTCAAAAGACAGACTTTCTACAAAAACGCATAAATAGTCGATGTATTTATATGTGCTATACACCTATGTGTCCTATATGTTACATATATACTTGATACTTGAACTACCCGTCCTCACTGGTTGTGCGGGCCTCAGCACCATTTGCTGGCTAAGCCATTGTGGTTCCCTGGAATCCCGAGGTGAGCCTGGCCAGAGTCTGCCCCAGGTCTTCACCACCACGGGCAGTCGCAGCCCTTGTGGATCAGAGGGACATTAGTCACCATGCCACTTTGACACCAGGACGGTGGTGGATCCTGGTATTGGTTTACTCTTAGCTAGACTTCCTGATGGAAACGCCGGACTCTTTTTCAGCTTGGGGGATCTTGCCGGGGTGATGAAGCTCCCGCTGTACATCGCAGTCCGACACCCAGGAACACCTCCCAGCCACGATGAGGCGGTAAACCGTTAGGAGGCATTGTAAATTTAAACTTGTGAGGTTCGCATATATACTACGTTAGAAACAAAAAGGTGACAAAAAGATAAGGTCGATAGTTGTTGTAATAGATTACCTTACTGCTGACTTGCAATTGAAACAATTTTAATGTTTTTGAGTGGCTAACCGTGAAGCTGATGGATAAAGCTGTCAGTTTGATCAATCCCTGAAGGACGCGCCATGCATTCGACTTCATCAGGCATCGTTAGGGATGATTAAATGCAATTCCCACTGCCGACTTTCTGTTAACCTCGGCGTTGATCATATAATTTAAGATATTCTTGTCAATCAAACACAAGTTCTTACACTATTCTTTATTCCAGTAAAGCTGACGTTTCGGCAGTGTCGTCTTCTTTAGAGCTAGAAAGGATGTATTTATATGCAATTTATTACGCCGTTTCAATAACACGTACAAAAGATGGGAATCTGTATTGTAATTGCATGTCCATACAGTAACTTACCGTGACCTACCAATGTATTAGGCCAGTGGTGTTATCCTCATAAACATCTCTGCTACCGATTTGCCGGTCCCGGAGGGATAGAAGTTTTCGTGAGCCCAAGACGCAGGATCGAACCGAAAACCACATTGCAAGACACCTCTTACTACGTCACTACGCGAGCCTTAGCGCCTGGCTTACCTTACTCTCTGCTAATTTACTGTAGTACGCTCGCATGTAACGTAGTGGTTCAAGTTCAAGCATTGCATACACACAAGGTCGGTTCAACCCGGAGTAGACAAGGTTTACATCCCTTTAGGATCAATAAATCAGGGCGTGAATTGTTCGGGAGTATGAAAACACTGACTTGGTACATCGGTAGGCCATCGCCATTTACATTACAATACATAATGGAGTCGAATTCATGACGTTTTTTGGAGAATTAAGTATCGCCGAATGTTCTTAGGCGTTTTGGTTTCTCTGTCTTCTTTTCATTCCTTGAAATGTGGTGTTCTTGTCCGAGTAACCGAGAAAGAGCTACTGAAACCCCAAGTAGCCGAGTTACGGTAGTCTGTAATTCTGTACTGTATAACTGTGACTTATCATTTTTGAATTTGGTGGTATTTTTGCTGAAGTTTATTGCAGGTGGAAGCACCGTTTCTGCCCAAGTGTCGTGGCCCAGGTGACGCATCAAACTTCGATGACTACGAAGAGGAGCCGTTACGCATTTCAGGCACTGAAAAGTGTTCAAAAGAGTTTGCCGAATTTTAATCCACGTTCCCGCTTTGTGCTAGCGTCTTATCCTTGGCTGTTGCCGTTCCACCATCAGCATCTCTGTTGCTGCATCGCCGCTGTCGTAGGTGGTCCATCCATCCATTTCCCTTAAGTGAATTTGCGGTGTTTATCCCGGTGAGTTCCTTTTCCCCTATATCCTCTTTTCCAGTCAGTCTGTCTTGTCTTCTCGAACTACTTAGAACGATGTGCTATGTCATCCTCTTCCAACATCATTTCTAGTCGACTGTTAATTTTTGCCCACACTTGTACATTTCATATTATGCTAGCCGTGCCACTTTACCGTATCTCGACCATATTCCTACGCCCTGTTATCGCCACGTCACTCCTACCGTTCGATCCACTTACTCGCACGCAACGCTCCCCTCTTCTTTTGACTTGGAACTGTTTATATAGTTGTTACTGCGTAGAAACCTCAGCATAATTCAGTCCGTTTCCTAGTCCTTCTGAGTTCAGAAGCAAGGCATATTTGCCCTGAACTTTTCAGTTTTCGAATATTGTACGGATCAAATGTGACATCGTTCCTCTTTCTGCTGACAAATGTTTGTAGGCTGTCTTGTGTAATACTGCTCCAAAATGGCCGCTAGCCTAATTTTATAGACATTGCATATTGGTGCTAGCGGTCAGATACCGTGACTACACACATACTCTCTCTCGCTCTCTCTCTCTCTCTCTCTCTCTATATATATATATATATATATATATATATATATCACTGATTTGACATTGAAGCCATACAATAATTATGTATACATTCATTGATACATGCATGAATAAGCAGAGCATATACAAACAACCACACATACGTGTACTCATTCACACAAAGACATACACTCATTACATTGGCATACAAGCACTACATTCACACACACACACACACACACACACAGACACAAAGTACTGATAGCATTATTGTATGGCTTATATTTGTAAATTTCTATTGTCGTCTTTAATATATTATGTGAGTTGGTACTCCTGTCATAAGTGATTATAGCTTTAAATTTTGTCAATAAAAGAGTATATGTCAACCAAACAGACACCGCAGGCCTCGGTTCTCGTTTTTAGAAGTACATTGCGTGAGAAGTAGACTCCGATGAAGCACATGAAGTACTGCCTACTAATTACCGAAAGCGAGAAGTTTGCGAGAAGGTTGGATTTGGTCTTAATGAATCAATTTCCCGATGAAGTACTTACTCCGTTCTAATAAAGTAAAACTTCACCCCCAAAACCCGAGTCACCTGTCGTTCATTTGAGATACAACTATCGCAGGTTCTTACTATTCTCTGAGATTTTCAAACCACTTGTATAACTTGTTTTGCAATTGATCGTTGACTGGATTGAGCGAGTGCCAGTAAAGCCTCCGATTTTTACTATCGATCGCAAGAGTAACTCGGTTAGTTTTGGTTACTCTAGGAACTCGATGAGCGTCTTGTTTTTCTTCTAAGGTCTTCATGAAGAATTATGATCATAGATGAGGTCGCGGGTTTCTCTCTTGTGTGGGTGACACGTCGCGAACGCTGAGCACTAAACGATATTATCCACTGACTTCCTCTGTGATTACATAGCTGTTGCATTCGGAGGTATTCATTCCGTTGAGCGTAATGGAGCATCAGAAACAGGTAGGTTCATTTAAAAAAACCTTGTTCAGATGCAGTCGAAGGTCACTCCTTCTAGAGGTGTAGTCGATGTCGCCCAACATACGTTCCGCCTAGCTAATGCTTGATGCACTAAGACTGCTATCGGCAAAGAGGAGATGGCGTAGTTGCAAACCATTGATTTCTACTTCCGTGTATACGTTTCGCGGAATGGCAACTCTTTTCTAATTCCACTTTCATGGAGGTATTTTACACATCGAGTAGAGGTGCTCCGACTATGAGATTTCGCGGCCACTTTTCCTTCAACTTTTAAATGGCTGTCTTTCGTTCAATGTGTTGTCATTCTGTTCTATTAAGGATCATTCAGGTGAAGTTTGTGTTATAGATTACGGAAGGCAGGTAGACTATGTGATGATGGCCGACATCGAATGACTCTTTCTTCCTGTGCAACGAACCAGTACTGCCGTTCTTCATTGACTGAGCACCTTGCGTTCTGACAGACAACATGTGAATACCATGTTGGTGAGGACTGGGCGATATCTTGGTTCTTCAGACATTCAACTCGAGTTGTGTCAAGGTTGGGTGTTATACGATTCTCCACATGTCAGATAGCACGTCGGGCTTCGGGTTGGAGAATTACTGGTATAAAAAATTCAACCTCGACCTGATATGGAGGCAACTGGACGTAAATGTTGAAAACAAGGGGAGGAGACGTGGATGAATTTTTCTTTTGAACACTTGGTGGAATGGACGGTAATTGGGGGTCGTCTCGTTGGAGTTGTGAAGGCTCTTTTCAACATTGCAACTTCAGTCACTATTGGTTCCTTTGTTCGACCCTTTATCGCTTCTCTGCTTTCTTTTAGAAGTTCGAGCATGTTTCGCAGATTCACTACGACTCGTGCGACTTCGAACTGGAGTGCCTGATCGGTTGCTTTTTGATGATTATTTAAACTCGACTTTTCGAGCACTATCAGTTATTGGAGTTGCGCCGGAGTATTCTTCATGGATATTGTCGATAATAGTATCCTTCCAGCAGCCGAGTAATGATGTGAATAAATTCCCTATTAACAATGGTTTTAGGCGTTTCGCTTATTGGATTTTCCAGCTTTCCCCCTTTTTGTGTTATACGTAGGCTTCGATTGTCATGGTCCAAGC